CAGCACAGGCTCTGCTACTTGTTTTATTGTTTTATATTTAATTATCTAAAATGTAGATGTTAAATGACTGCATATTTGAACAGACTTGAGGGAAACAAGCTTAGAATTCTACAAACATCTACTAAACCTTATAGAATTTGTTAAATAAATAAAAAAAATTAAGAAAAACTACACATGCTATTGAAAACACTAGACAGAAATAAGTGGGGAAAAGCAGCCAAAGTCCAAAGAAAACCTTTGAAAAGCCTGAAGAGCTTTTTAGTATCTTCAAAAGCAAAATAGCAAAACAAGAAAATAACAATAAAACATTTTTTTAAATATACAGTGATTCAGGACTTTTGCACAGTATTTGTTTTTAGATCTTCATCTTGTGTGATTTTCTCTTGTTTACGGCTTATTTCCAGTATTTCAATACCAAACCAGAAACATTGACCTTCACTGTTCAGCTTCAGTCCTGTCTAATATCTTTGACAAAAGTTTTCATTAACATCACACTTTACCATCTGTTCCAGTCAGTACTCCTGGGTAATAATATGTTTTCATGCATGATTGACTGTTGGCAGCCTTTGGCAGCTTATTGCTGATGTTCAGTAGAGCTACATGACGTAAACAATAAACTTTTCCAATGAAGATGTTGGATTATGTTTTTTTTTCTAGTTAAGTTTTAGTTTTACTTCTTTGCTTCTTTGCTTTCAAAATATTTTCTGATAAGTTTGTATTTTTCAGCTGCTGTTGAAGTAAGAGATGCAGCTCATCATCCAGTGAGGCATCTTGTCTGGGGTGGCACAAGAGCGCAGAATAAAATGTTATTTAGTCATTTGTAGCCTAATTAAGCTTTCTGTCTAATATTTGCATATCCAGTCAGATTGGGGAGAAAGCACTCCTCTGTTGAACAGTCAACTCTGTTTGCTGCTTGTGGAAAAAAGGAGAAGAAGGAGTGGTGTGATGGACAAGGCTGTGTGGTCAGGGGAGGCAAAGCATCAACTGTCATCATCAACAACAACAAAAAGGAAAAAAAAATAGAGTGAAGTAAAATAATACAAAATTTTGATTTAGATTTTGTTGTAAATGTTGTTTCTGTGTGGTTCTAGTTATTTTAATCTATTTAACATCAAAATTGTTGTTTATTTCTTGGTTAAAGACGAAGGATATTATTAAATTGTTACTGCAGATAGCTGAGAGCGTCCAGTGAAACTGATGTGTGCATGCTTATTAATCTGCGCAAACAGTATGTCCTGTTCAAGTCACAACATTTTATCTATTTACTATTTTAAATGTCAGTAATATTTTCTTTATTGTTTATTTGCATAGGGACAAGTGTTACATACAACAAATGCAGAACACTATAACATTTACAGCCTTAACTAGTTTGCAATGCTCATTCCCAGATGAGCTTTAATGGCATATCTCTTAGTCACAATAACATACATGGTAGTCAGAATCTATTTAAAGTTTAACCACTTTAATATTAGACTAAATAAATAAATAAATAAATAAATAAAATAGCATTATGTCTACAAATATAAATGTATTTTTAAATGGTTTGAAATATCTACAAATTCTTGAAAAGTTTAAGTAGCAAAGATCCATAATTCAGTTCTCTCCAGTCAAATAAACTTTTCATTGATCCAGAATTGCATACTTCCTTTCCACGATAAGCATTTCCAATGTCTTAAATATCACATTCCCATTCAAATGTATTGGCCTTTCTGCTGCAGAAAATCACAAATACATTCTTCTTTGAGAATGAACATAAGGGCTATCTAAAATAGTTTTTTTATTTGTTGAAACTACGCTACTCATTATGAATTTTATTGTAAATATCCATAAATGTTGTTTGCTGAATGGTATAATGAGAGGTTACTTTGGAGTCAGCCCTGCTAAAGATGTCTGCAACAGCTGATCAATGATATCCAACTCAAAAATGACTGTAACACAGTTAGTTTTATACATGTTGAGTTTAAATTTGATGCGTTGGTAGCTGAGAATCATATTTTTGAGTGTGACATCTTTGATATTTCGAGGTTTGACCAAAATGGCCACAACTTGATTTTTTCCTCAACACAGAATGATCTTAGACTTAAACTCTGGTAACATGCATTACCTCTCAGACTGTAAGCTGTAAATGTTTTCCTGACTGTGAGGAATTGTAAGATCATGAATGTTTTACTCTGTATGAGATTTCAGGTTGAATAAAACAAAAACCGCAGGTCTGTGGGGAGATAACATCTAAAATCTGAAATTTATACAGGCTACAGTATGTATTGGGTAAATTTGTAAAAAAAAAACACTAAAAATGTTTTCTCAATATTTCACATTATTGACAAGCTTTTTCAGGTCTAAACCATATGCTTTGGGAAAAACACACCATGTTGTGTTTGTTTTTTCTGTAAAGATCACAATTAACAAAAAAAAAATGGTGTCAAGTGGGAGCTTTTGTTTTGTACATGCTTGCTTTATTGCATAATCAAAAGCATTATTAAAATGAGACATTTTCATCGTGAACTGAGCAGCTCAGAGGTTGCTGCTTCCTGTAGCAAGGGAAACGTTGAGAAGAATAACATCCAGATGCCAGGAGGGGAGCGCAATGCCACACGAGTTGAGTAGCTGACATCCGAGGAGTCAGACCGGAGCCAGGCTCTATCAGCTGGATACAGTGAAGGCGTGTGGCACCTTGGCAGCACAAGAAAGCAAAAATCTTTTTTTTTACATGGGAATTTTATTTTTCTTGTGAACTTATTATTTTAAAAAATGCTATTCCTCTCCTGCAGTTCTATTTTTATATTTTATTTAAATACTAATATAAATATAAATGCATTTGTAGAATATTTCTTATTTATTTTATTTTATTTACTTGTTTCATTCATAAAAATTAACAAAAAGCCCACTGAAAAACAAAGTAAATCCATTACTGAATGAAAAGTGTAAAGAAAGAAGAAAAATAAGTATAATATATGTCCATTAATGTCACTTATCAATTGAGGCAATACCTACATTCCCACAGTAACAAGCTGTGGTTATTAAAAAAAAAAAAAAACATTTTCTCAACAGGATTTTAAAATCACTTTTGTTCTAAAAGGGCAATTGCATTTAATTTGAAATGTATTGATATTTGTGTTACTTTTTTCTGTGTTTTTGTGACTGTAAGTGTGTAAGATGTCTGTGTGGAGATTTTTGTGCAGTAGCAGAATTTCCTTTTTTCCCTCCAATTAACCAAGACGCAGCTGCTATTTTCCCACCTCATCTGTTCCATGGTGGGTTTCAGTTGAACAATAATCTACTTTAGATACTACATTGTTACCTCTGAAGCTCACAAGTCATCAATATTAATGTTCGATCTGATGCAGCTACACACACATACACACACAGAGTGACAGAGAGAGAGAGCGAGAGAGAGAGAGAGAGAGAGAGAGAGAGAGAGAGAGAGAGAGAGAGAGAGAGAGAGAACCAAAAATAAACATCTAAAGGACGAAGAAGATTCAGAAATGAAACAGAAGTCACCGTTCTGCTCCTCTCACACATTCTGTTCTGTTGATGTGTGGTTGTGTGATGTGTTGTAGCACGGTGACGGTTTACCTCTTTGAAGCAGGCAAGACCCTGAAAATATTCTCCTTATGTAACTGTCCTTGTTGCGAGGCCACACAAGCCCGCTGCGCGAGGCGCAGCGTATTGGTGGGCATCGTCCCGAATACGTTGGCCCGCGCGTGTGTTTGTGTGAGTGTGCGCGTACAGTATGTAGGCAGGCAGCTTCTCCTCTGTGAATTATGCAGACCAGGATGATGGTGCAGGGACGGGAAGATGAGGCAGCTACACAGCTTTTGAATTAGGAGAGTCAAACATTCAGGACAACGTGGAGCAGAGAGTACCAGAGTGGATGAGAATGGTGGGGATGTGGAGATAAAAACTTCAGAAAAAGAAACAGCAAGTGATCGGGAAAGTGAACAAATTAAAAAGAGTAGGAAGCTGTGGGACAGTGACAGGATTTACAAGACAATAATTATAGTTGAGAAGGTGGAAACATTAAAATTAAAGAATTCTGGTATAAACTTCTAAATATATATTTAAGTCTTCAAAAGTAAAATTCACATTACAATTGGATAGACATTTAAAACGTCTAAATGTAATAAATAAAATCATTTTTAAAATTATACTAGAGTCAGGTGTGAGAAATAATGTTGCAAAGAAACATCTTCAAAGCATGGTGAGAGCAGTGCCATAATTTGACCATGTTTCAATGTGCTTACTATCATTTATAAAATGACAAACTTGGAAACATTAAATTTTAAAAGAAAATAAAAAAAAGTCTTTAATTTTTTGAGTTTCATTAATACGTAATGTATAAAGTAAAAGTGCAACCCTAAAAACACTGTTTATTTTTCTTAAAGTGATGAAAAAGAAATTGTGTTACAGTTCAGACATTGATTGGGCAGAAATCTTGTTAAATCTGAGCCATTTTTGTGAGCAAGCACCATTTTATTCAAAGAAGCTTAGTGGGGGGAAATATACCCACTTTTCTAGGCTGACGTGCAGCTACTGAAAATGTTCAGTGTTGTTTTTAATTCTTTGCTGCACAAGAGATTTCACACCACATACTGAGACCAAACACTCGCCTATTGTTTTAGCCACATTTTCATTTGTAGGCTAATGTTGGCTAATATTCTACAGTAAATACACAGCTAGAGACTTATTAAAGTATTAGGAGCACCACTGTATGTAGTTTCACTGTGTGTAGAACAACAGGCCTGTTAATTATGTATAATTACCCTACATAGCCTGTGAAGAAGCAAGCTGTTGTTTTTCTGTGAAACAGTTTTAATACAAACGTACCGTACGTCAGCACGTATGAGGAAAATAACATAAAGAACATCAGATTTAATTAGATCAAAGTCTAATTTGGGAAACTTTTCTTGTAAAGTTTGCATTATAATCCATGTTATTGTGTTGTTTTTCCTCCTCTCCTTCCTTACGTCTTGGTTCTCCTGCTCCCTCTTTATGTGTAGGCATTGGTCAGGGTGTGCCAGTGGTGGCTCTTATTGTAGAGGGAGGCCCTAATGTGATCTCTATCGTGTTGGAGTACCTCAGGGACACGCCTCCGGTCCCCGTGGTGGTGTGCGATGGCAGTGGAAGAGCCTCGGATATCTTGGCCTTTGGACACAAATACTCTGAAGAGGGAGGGTATGAACTCATTTTAACACAAAATGCAGTAATCTACTGATAAATACTTTGTAATGCATTTATGAGAGCTCTATTGACTAAACATTTTTAGTAATCACATTAAATGGCAATAAATACAATTGAGTCATTTTTGAACCACTAATCATCAATGCATTTATGTGTAGGTTCTGCAGAGTTATGTTTAGGGAGAAAAACTTTCTTATTAAAACTTGAAAAGGATTTTGAGTGTATTCCTTAAACAGCTCTGCTCTAACAGCTGTAGGTGTTTTCAAATTTACATCTCACTTTGGACTCAGTCCCAGATAACTGCGTTTTCATTTAGTGTTAAATAAACCTAATTTTCTTGTTGCCCCATAACCATTAAATTTACCTCCTTCCTGACATGTTTTTTTTTCTTCACACCTCTCCCCCTCTGCAGGATAATTAATGAGTCTCTAAGAGACCAGCTGCTGGTGACCATCCAGAAGACTTTCACCTACAGCCGCACACAGGCTCAACATCTGTTCATCATTCTCATGGAGTGCATGAAGAAGAAGGAACTGGTTAGTCATTTTCCAACAAACACACACCCCCACACACGCAAACCTGCTTGTGACCGCCACAGTTACAACACCTTTGCACATGTAAATTT